AGAGGATCCCCTGTAGTTATGTGCACCCTTGAGGTGACTGACCTTCTGGCTGCAGGCGTGGGAGGCAGCAAATTGATAATTCTCCTGGACTACTGAAGATAAAGCTAAGCTGCCTCTCACAATAGGGATGAGGCAGTAGCTTTTGTAGTTGTTTTGAAGTAATCTTTTACATAGAGCTGACATAAGTAACTGAGTAACAAATTAGCTGCATCTATGAAGAGAAGTGAGTGAGTGTGAAGACTTTCCTGTTAGAGTGTGTGGAATGAATAGCAGAAAATAGTCTGGGCGGTTTAGAAATGATGGTGTGCCAACGGGTACATGTGCAAAACAGGGAGGAGAGAATAATCTGAATTCAACAGTTGTTGCTTTGCTTGAAACTCCTTAGAAGAAGATCAGAGGTAATGGCCTCAAGTTACACCAGGGGAGGTTCAGGTTGGATATTAAGAAAAACTTCTCCAAAAGAGTGGTCAGACATTGGAACAGGCTGCCCAGGGAAGTGGTGGAGTCACCGTTCCTGGAGGTGTTCAAGAAACGTGTAGATGTAGCACTCGAGGACGTGGCTTAGTGGGCACGGTGGTGATGACTTGACAGTTGGACTGGATGATCTTGGAGGTCTTTTCCAACCTTAATGATTCTGTAAGCAAGTATGTCAGTAGCCGCCTATCGTAACTACTGTGAAACCATTCTGGTGGCATAGACACTAGGCTCCTGATTTAATGATTATTTAGGCAAAACACAAACTCAAAGGTTACCTTTTAAGTACCTTAGTACCTGAAGAAAATGTCAAGTCATAGCTTGGAGACTTCCCCCCCTTTAAGTAGGTTACCCTTATCTGTTTCAAATACTCACGTTCATCAGAAAATGGGCAGTGAGGATGTCTGGAAATATTTTTAAATTTAATTTAGGATTTACAATACCTAATGCAATCTATGAATGAATTCAAACAATACTCCATGTATTTGCATTGTGTATTTCCAATTTTAAAAGGAATATAATTTTGTAGTTGCTGTGCTTCTGCTAGCTCTACCTGTATCAAGTGCCAAGGCTTAATGAAGCATTTAAGGTTTACTCTATTTGACTTTTGAATTAATTCAAACAATTTTTCATGTACTTGCATTTTATATTTTGTAAAAAGATGGTTTTCAAATACTTACTTGTGTAGGACTGTCATCTCTCTGTGTTAGTTCAAATACCAGTAATCATGGAATCTCAATGTAATTTGTAAAGAGCATGCAAGTTCTGACTTAAGAAATAATGTTTGAATTCACTCTTGACAGTGCACATTTTATTACCATTAATTTTTTTTAGGCAATTTCAGCACTTGATTCACATCCTCCTAGGGACTGCAATCTCCACCTTGGAGAACCTTCAGGGGCCCCTGAATGCCCATTCTGCAACCTGTGCATCCTCCTGTAACTGTGGAAATAACCTGAAGGAGAAAGTCCGTGTTGTGAGACCAAAAAGTGTAGTTCTGGTGTTCTCTTGCTGTGGAGTTCTGTAACAATAACAGTCTTTCATCTCAATGTGTTTCTGCAAAACCTTGATAGGGAGCGCTCCTTGTCTCTTATCAGATCCTGGTCAAGTTTTGATAGGCTGATGCACCATCAGACCAAAAGTCCTTCTGTCAACGGGAGAGAAGGGCAACAAGTGCCTCGTTTGCTGATGTTGTTTGTCATCCGCTGAGCAAATGTAAAGTGATTCGTTCCCCAGTATGCTTGCCACCTTCTTGCAGGCAGCTTTTAGGTACTCTGACAAAAAAAAAAAGAAAAAAAAAGAAAAAAGAAAAGAAAAAGAAAAAAGAAAAAAAAAGGGAATTTTAAAAAGGAATTTTAAAGGAAGAAAAAAGTATTGATCTAATATTTGTTAATGTTGAATATATTGGCATCTGCCCTTGAGAAGTTTGTGTTAATTTGAAATAAAAATGCCCTGAATTGAGAACATGAGATGTCTCACCCTGCCTGAATTTTAACTATAATTAGTTCATTAAGAAACTTTTCTGGGATATTTAGGAAACACGTCAAGTCTTAGCCGAAACTAGTAGGCTGAATTCTGTAATATTTTGTAGTGATGCAAAGCTTGTTAGGAACTGGATTTAGCTGGTGAAGCGTTTAAACTTACTGGTTTGAGGGATATTAAAGAACATTTTTTGTGGAGTGGGTAGTATGGTTCTTATTCCTTTGTTGTGCACATTTTGTTTTCAGTTCTCAGGCTTGTTGAAGTTTTGCAGCTGGTGCAAAGATTGTTTTCAGTAACTAAAGCTGCAAGAGATTAGTAGTGTTTTAACAGCAATTAAAACTACTGATGTTTTCACTTAGAGTTCTCCAGGCAGCAGGGAATTCAAATTTTTTGTTACCTCTTGGAAGTCTGAAATAGGTGGAGAGCTTTATGTGCTGGAGGACAGTTACAGGTGCAGTTCCATAGGAGAGTGACTTCTTTCCAGTTGCAGAGGGTTTTCATTTCAGTTTGCAACTGAGGTGTACGTTAGCTGCCCAGATTCAGCAATTTACTCATGACAACTGCCTCTAAATAATGGTTTTCACAGGACTTCCATCTCCATTCTCTTAAAAAAAAGGTAAGTGTAAGACAGAAAACAAATCTGCTTCATGGTAAATATGTAATTGAGAAGAAAGGACTTTCTTGTCAGAAAGGATTAGTTTTTACATCGTTCAGTACTGTGCTGGATACACTGGTGGACCTTCATTTGGTTGCCTTTCTGCTGTGGGCCAGTGCACAGGTCACCTGAAGTGTATGTACCCTTTGACTTTTAAGGAGTCGCTGAAAAGTAACAGGTCGCACATTCAGCCCTGCCTCTGTGTTGACCAGGTGAAACTTCTCTATCCCTAAAGGACAAACCAGTCCACTGAAGTTCACCGTCTCTTTCCTTGCGAGAGAGAAGGAGAAGGGGAAGCAGGATAGGTGTGGAATGAGTCATCTGAAAGGATTAAGCAGCTCTGGAAAGTGGGCAGATTGCTCATATTTGGGGATTTAGTTGGATTTAAGTGCAAACATGACTGAGGTTTGAGTAAACTGCACCCGGTAATAGATGACACTCAGTTTTCACAGGGGCCATGAGATTTTTTGTTTCTAGATATATTTCCTGGGGAGAAGTGAATAGGAGGGCATAATTAAAAATTGCAGGAATCTACTTGGCATTATGTGCTTTTCTCTATTGTTTGTTTTTAGTCGTGTTTTCCTAAGAATCCAAAGTGTATCTGGTTACCTTGTTTCTCCAGTCCTTCCTCATAAAAATTCCTTGAAGCTTTTTGCTGAACTTCAACCACATCTGAAAGAGGGAAGAGGGTTCAAAGCTATTAAGTACTTAGAAACTTTGATTAAAGCAGTTACTGGATATTGGAGATGCACAAAACGAATTTCTGCACTGCAGCAAAGATCGCTGTGGAAACTGAAGGCTGATGGATCATGCTCAGTGTGCCATGAACCGCTTGCTGGTTATGTATAAGTTTCCCCATCAGCACATAACTGGGAACTAGCTGCAACACCTATTGCAACTTGCTTTATCCCAGTGATTAACCAAAGTGGAGGAGGAACAAAGGGACACTTGAAGTACTCTGGTGGGGTTTAGTGAAGAACTGATTATTGCATTAGTAGTGATTGATGATATGGGGCACAGGACACACATTCATGGAAAACTGGGTTTAGTGCTTCTGCTTGGCTTTCTTCTTCACTGCTTTTCTAATTTTACCATAAAACCTCTTTTAATTTTTCATTCTTCTTTTACATTTGTAAGTCTCATAAATAAATGACTTAGAGTTAAATAGCTGCCCTGTTGTATAAAGGTGAAAACAGCTAGTGTTCTTATGCTACATGAACACAAACGTGTTACTTTATGAAGGTCTGTGCGGTCCAAGTGTAGAAGGAAGCTGGGCTGCATGTATGGATGTGAATAAAGAACTACTCTGAAGGGATTGCTGACACTAGTTGACCAGAAAGGTGTTTGCCTTCATTTTGAAACCTGAAATTTTGTGTTTGTTCAACACCTGAACAGCTCAGAGCTATAACAGCAATCTTCTAGTCTTCATAGGCTTCAAAAAATATTTTGCACACAGTTCATGTTCTCTCAAATTTACGACATGACAGTTATATTTCCAGTACTGTAATTAACATAAAAACCATAGTGAGTTAAAGAAAAATAGGAGGTGATATGTGGATAATAAACTGAGATTTGGCAAGCTTATAGGGTTCTCATGTTCTCATTATGCTCTTAAATTGACCTTCTTAGTTGTCAGTAGGAAGTGTACTAAATGAGTGTAGCTGACCAGGTTGAATCTTTACGTATCCCAGATTTTGGTCGTTATTTTTTTAATAAAGATCAGTACCTGTGGGAAATACAGTAGCTGCTATCCATTCTCTCCCCTTTGGCAGTGTTTGGGCGGGGTTTTTAGTTTATTGTTCAAAGATGTGGAAGTACTGGTTTAGAGATACGCCTGGTGTGCAGATATGCGTGTGTAACATAACATGTTCAGTGTATTTCTGTATTTGTAGAGCTTTGGTTTTATTTTCTTAATTTCTTTCTAGCGGATATAGCTCAGAGATACAGGATAAGCAAATATCCAACTCTGAAACTCTTCCGGAATGGAATGATGATGAAGAGAGAATACAGGGGCCAGAGGTCTGTGACAGCAATAGCAGATTATATCAGGCAGCAGAAGAGTAACCCTATTCGGGAAGTCCAGGATTTGGAAGAAATTAGTTCTCTTGATGTAAGTATTTAAATTTAATTCCTTTTAAATATATTATTATTATTATTCTTTTTTTGTAATGTTGTACTGATAAAACGTAATGTATTTGAAGTACATATTTACTGCTTTTTTTTATATTCAGAAATGTGAGTGCTTTTTTTTAAACTGAGTGGAAAACTAGATCATTTGCAGTATTATGAATTATTTCAATACAATCACATTAAACTGCATTCATTTTGTTAGTGAACTCCACTACCAAATTATGTATTTTCATTTTAATCATTTGAAAAGAATCATATGTTGCATTTTGCAAGATACTTCTAATACTCCTCACTGGAGAAATATTCACAAGGATGCTTCTCAATGTTGAAAAGGTAGAATGCAGTTACTGACTGTTGAATGAATGGCATTTCTGTATTTAACACTCTTAAGGAGTAACAATAGTTTTTGACAATTTGAGGTAAGTTATAATCTAACCTTTGTTTTTACAGCGCAGCAGAAGAAATATTGTTGGATACTTTGAGCAAAAGGACTCTGACAATTACAGAACTTTTGAAAGAGTAGCGAATATTTTGCATGATGATTGTGTATTCCTGTCTGCCTTTGGGTAAGTTTTAAAATTTGTTGATTGCATGCTTTGTTATTGAAATTAAGTTAATGAGTTGTATATAATTTAATTGAATGCACTTCTTTAATACTTTCAATGTGGCATAACTGAAGAGACTAGACCTTAACAGATAAAAACAGAGAGAAGGATAGGAGGAGCAGGGAAGAGAATTCCTCCTAGCCTTTATGTTTGCTATGAAATCTGGCTTTGATTTGTACCTCCTTTTTCTGTTTGGTTTTTTTTTTTTTACTCCTTGTCAGTATAGTTTAAATGTAATTGGGGAGGTTTTAGGGGGGATGCTAGACAGTTGTGTCCTAAAAACCTGCTTTTTTGGAGGGAGAGGGGAACAAGTAGGGAAGAGTTTGGAAACTTTTTGCCAAAAATTTTATCAGCTTTGTAGACTAACTTTTTTTTTTTTTTTCCAACCTGTTATTTTTTTTCTTTAAAATATGACCATTTTTATAGCTTTTTTCTTTCTTGTTGTAGGGGGTTTTTTCTGTAAAGAAAAATTCAGTAGTTGCTTGCTCATTTCCTCTAAATGTCAGGGGAGAAGACCTTGTTCTAAAATTCCTTATCTGTGCCTGAGTCTTTCACGTGAGTTCTATGTCACTGCACACAGAAACAGTTTAGAAAGGCAATTGCATTGATGAACTACATAGTGTGTGTCCAGAAGAACAACCTACAGAAATTCAAATTTCTCCTTGTTATACAGATCTAAAGCAATATTTAAAAATACTAAAAGATCTTCACTGGAGGAAGAAGAATAAATTGGGAGTGAGTGATTCCCTTTTTAAGTAGCATAATAAAATGCAATGATAGATTCTTTCTGCAGTATTTAATGTGCCAGCACCAACCTATTTAAAGTGACTGGGCATTAATGTGAATGCAGTGTTTTTCAGTCTGCCCACAGTTGCAAGATAGGAATTTGCATGGGTTATATTAGCTTTTATACCGTATATGGTTGCCCAAACATTTTTTTTGAATTGAATGTAGTAAGGAATGACGGAGAGACTGAGAGGATGTATCAAGATAGAAATTTTTTCATCTCTTTGAACAAAATTTGTTGTCAGTCACTGATGCCTCTTCCAATATGTTTCAAAAAAAAATTTGGGGGCTGGAGAAAGCATTTGTAGTGTGCAGGAGTACACACGATTTTCCTTTCCTTCAGTTCCCAATTGGGTATTCTGTGACTGTGTAAGCAGCCTTGGCCATGAGAGAATAATAAAATCCTTTACATCTGTGGTTTGTCAGTCTTATTCCCAAAAAGTGACCCTTAACTCAAATGTTCTCGGATGAGTGCAGCCATACTTCTTCTCAGGGCAGCCAGTCTGAGTTATTGATGTAATTTTCAATTATTTTTTTCCCCTCATATGACTCTTCTTTTCAAGAATGCCTTTTCAAAAATCATTAGTAAGATAACAATACTTGTAAGATTCTCTCTTCTGTTGTTCAAATCTGTTCGCCTTTGGTTTGCTATTTGTCAGCTTAATATAATGAGAAATAGTGTCCCACAACTCAGTGTTAGCATTTGACTGTTGGATGCCGTTCTTGAGGTAGTTACTGTGAGGTTTTTATTTTCTTTTTGTTTTTTTTTCTTTAGATATAAGCAATAAGCAAACATAATGGGACAGATCAGGGTCTGATTATTTCCAACTTGCACATCTAACTACAGATTGCACAGCAAGCTTGTCGTTATTCTCTTCTCCAGCCTCCAGTTCCCTTTCTAGCCTAGAGCTGTTAGTGTTTTAAAGTGCAGTCTTCCAGACAGCAACCTTGGGAACGAAATGTTTTCATCTCTGAGTGGCAGTGGCTCTCAAGCTCCCTAAAATATGATATGTGAAAAGACTTAGGGGGGAGATACTGGCTATATAACAGTGTTTTCTATACAGATTATATATAGCAAAATGTTTTATGGGAAGCTGGCCCTGATCAGTGGAGCTCTTCTGACTGAGCATCCTAACAGCCTTTGGGAGGGATTTTTGGGTTTGCTATGAATGAGTTCAACAGGCATATGGTTTGAGTTGTATGGTAATGTGAACTGTCATGTTCAAACTTCTAGTAAGCTAAAATAAACTGAAAACAATCAATTTGACTGGGAAAAAATAATTGATGATACTTAGTTGCAGATCATCTTGATACTTGAAACTATTCTTAAATCAACTGATCCTTAACAGTTCTGTTAATAGCTGAGTTGACCACAGAGCAAGATTAATGAGAAGGAGGATGTAGGAGGGATACTGATGAAGTAGATTTTAGATAGTGGAACTAGAGAGGGTTAAATCTGAAATGTTTGTACACGTGCTTGTGCCATTGAGCCATAGCATAGGAAACCAAATGCAGAAAACAAACAAACAAACAGCCAAAAAATACTTTTGTCTTAAAAGGCTGTGATGAACTGTAGATGATTTCTGGAAGAGAGTGACAAAACTAGGAACTGTTTCAATTTTATGTTAGCAAGCAAAGAGTTGTGTGGTTCCAAGAGGTTCACTTTTTACATTACTGCTTCAAGAAGAGACAAAATGCAAACTGAAGTGTTTCCATTTTGGTAGTTTTAAAAAAGTGTATCTTCAGGCATTTGGGATTTTCACATCATGTCCCCACTTTGAGTTATCTGGAACAAATCAGTCACAACTGCAGCTACTGAAGTGGAATAACACAGAAGAGGACCTTTTGGGTTCCACCACAGGCTTACCCTAAAGCATATATTTCATTATAGATTATTATCAGTTTACCAAGCAGTGACTGGGCAGGTGGCTTCTCTGTCTTCACTTTCTTCTTACTTAGTGAAGGGTTGTTTGGGATGCGAGTGGTTTACCTCAGGGATGATGTTCACAAAGAAGTCTAATTTCCCATTATGGGAGCAGTCATCGTGTCTGGAATACAAAAATACATTTTAAAATGCATGTCTCTAAACTGTTGCAAATACTGGTAGGTGTAACATACTATGCAAGACGTCTTTTATACGTGATAAGTAAAGGATAATTGGATCAAATGAAATAACTTTAACTTGCCTACTTCGAGTTAAGCCTTATGATGTCTTTTTTTTTTCTTGGCCCTCTAAATTGTTCAGACCCCTGGAAGATTTACGTCATTTTGCAGTGAGATAAATTGAGATATTTTTATTTCTTTTTTTCCTCCCTCTTACATCTCTTAATCAGTCTTCACCAATACTTATATTGAGTCCACAGAAGAGATACTGTAAGTGTAGAAGCTGGAACACAGGCTAAAAAGAAAATAAATAGGTAGTTCATTTTACTCTTTTGTGGCGTCTGCAGCCGGTCAGTTCTGTCTTACCAGCATGAGTTACGTTGGAACAGCAAGGCATGGAAAAGAGAGGAGGCCTCTCTTGATGTCTGAAGGTGGTGAAAGGGTTTATTTTTGTTGAGAGCTTTCTTTCCTTATTTTTTCCTATCTCCTGTGTTGGATGCATAGCTGTCCCTCTGTTTGAGTAAGAGATGATAGTTTGGGGGATACAAGCTAGCAGCCTTCAGGGCACTCTGTTGAGACTGGGATTAAGGAGCCACAAAATATTCCTGAGGCAGAGGAGGAACTCACTGAGGTGACGTACTAAGCTGAATCCAAGGAGGAACTGTGTGTGTTCTCCAGGTACACACATACCGTATCATCAGTGTTCAGGAACTGCATGCTGTGTCTTGTGCTCTCTAGATCTGTTTTGAGGGTAAAACGGACAGTGTGGACTTATTTGCTCTCCATTTTCTCATTGCCTGTGCTGGTAGAGCACCTCAAAACCCTTCTTTATCAGGGTAGATAAGACATAAAATTCTGGTAGAGTAAATGCAAACAAGAATCCACCTTTCTCTTCTTTCGCTCCTTAAGAGGATAGGTTTGGTTTGGGGTTTTTTTGTTCATTTACATGATTATATTAATGAATTAACTTTTTTCTCTGGTGATCTCCTATCCAAAATTGTACTGGGATTCATCACTTGCATTTTGATGCCTTCAGTCCACACTTCTAATCTTAGGGATATGTCTTGCTGACTCCCTTAATGCCCTCTTATCTAGCCAAGTTTCTGTAGGGTCACTTTACAGTTCACTTTAAAAATCAAGGTTTTTAGTTCTCAAATTTTGAAAGAAAAAAATTATAAAGAAAGGATAGCAAGTTAAAATATGATTTTTGGTATCTCAGTTATTTTATTTGTCTGTACCAAGACATGCTTACTGGTTGGTTTGTTGTAGGGATGTTTCAAAAGCAGAGAGATTTAGCGGAGACAATGTAATCTACAAGCCACCAGGGGTAAGTGTAACTATGTATTTTATTCTGTTTATTGTCATTATATGCGAATATGAACTAAGAGACTATATTCAAATCACTCAGCATGTTACTGCATCTCAAATCTTAATTTTATTTCATCACTAAATAGTGTGAGAAATGGGGTCATAGGAACTAGTGTTTCTGAGTCAGTGAAAAAGATCTCAGTCTCATTTGTTGCCTATTAAGTGCACAAAACCTAAATTTGTAATTTTAAATGTCAGTGTCCAGAATTTTTTTTCTTAGAAGCACAGCTGACTCATGATGTGTCTCGATGCTTTGTGTTCTGTAGAAGCCTTAAAAATCTGTGAAGTTCAACAGCTGGTGCACTTCATGTTTTCCAAAGCAAGTGACGATTACTAAGTATTTCTGACTGTCACTTACCTGTCTTGTATGTCTGAGCCCCGACAAGGGCTGTGAGCTGTTCTCTTTATTAAAAAAAAATAAAATAAAATAATAAAAAAAAAATTGTAAAATTAACTGTATGTTACCAAACTGTCATAAATATAATTTTACCTGAGGAAAAAATCAGTACAGAAGAAAATCTGCAGGAATTACTTTTTAGAAACGTAATTAATGTCTGAAAATCTGCTTCTTTCTCAAATGAACTGTAGGATAATAGTTGCTTACAATAAATAAATAAATAAATACTTAAGCAGGAAGGGAGTTTCAAACTTTTTTCTGCAAAACCAAAATTTATTAGATTACCTAATTTATATGGCGTTTCTGAATTAAGGTGTGCTTAATCATGGCAACAGCTTGCAAAGTCATACTTCACTGCATGTTAACCAAAATTGTAATTACATTAAAAGCAGGTGCCACTGAATTCTGATTTAAAACTACTAGCAAATAAAGCAAAACTATTATTTGTTCATATCTCTTTGGCAAAGTAAATGTAAAATACCAGTTTCGAGACCTGTAGGACATTAGGAGGGTTTTTTCGTGAGTCTTTGTAACTATCACCATGAAGCAGCTTAATATCTTAATTTAGTTTATATCTAAATGGGTTTTTTAGGTATGGAGGTACTATTTCTCAACCTAACAGAAGTCTAAATAGCTTTTATTTGAAGCATCCTTAATTTGGAAACAAAGTATCTTTTCAATTATTCTTATGTGGCCTTAAAAAGTAGAGTTGAAAGATTGGCTTTCAGTATTTCTATGGATATGGTTACTTTATGTTGAGTGGGTAATCTTCATTGTAGGTAGCAATGTTATTCTTACTGTTTCTCAACTAGTATATTTTTCTTTTCAACAGGAAAATGCTCCAGATATGGTGTATTTAGGCTCACTAACCAATTTTGATTTGATTTATGCATGGACACAAGATAAATGCGTACCACTAGTTCGGGAAATTACATTTGAAAATGGGGAGGTAAGAATTTTTTCTACCATTCTACTTTTGGGGTTTCTTCCTCAAAACCAAAGTATCTCTTTCAAGGTCTCTAATCCATGCCAAGGAACTTTCTGCACTCTTTGCTTTTTACAGAAAATAGCTGTCTTTTAATTCTTTTCGAGCTTTTTGGTTAGACTTGAAATTCACTGGAGGCAGTTTTGTGCTAGTTTTGTACACTACCAAAGCTAAGAGGTTATAATCATGCATATATAGTCACATAAGAAATGTCTGGTGATTTGTGGAGTGTGAACACTGGGACGCTAAAAATGTGTGTAAGAAGAACGTGTGTGTCTGCATGTATGGGTGTGTAACACCTTAGGTAGGTTGTATTGTTAATCTAAAGTAAGTACATATTATTTATACAGATGTTAGAACTAAATCTTGTTTTAAGATACAAACATAAGTGCTTTTTGTGTCTATTACGATGTTGAAAAAGTGCTTCTGGTCAGGGTAGAAAATATTTATGTCAGTATGTCCATTGCAGTTCCAAAGACTAAAATAGTTGTGAACTATCCTTTAGTTATAACCAGCTTGTAAAACTTAATATTAAAGTTAGTAGTAGAAAAATATTACTGTATTAACCACTTCTGAAGCATTATCTAATAAATAAGCACATTAAATAGTGGCTGACCATTTATGGAACTGGCAGTCTTCTGGGAATTGTAATAAAAACAATGTGTTGTTTTTTGGGGATTTTTTTTGGCCATTCTGTATTTAAGTACTGGTACCTTCTTAATCTTTTTTTAGCTTCATATGCTCTTTCCTTTGGGTTTCTTCTTTTAGCTGTAATTTGTAAGATGGAATTTGGGGCTTTGCTTTTAAAAAATCTTTTCTTCTCATTATCCTTATTTTCTTTCAATGTTTTTTCGTTTTCTTTTGTAACTTACTCCTCTTTCGTCTATTTCCAACTCCATATTATACATTTTTTTGTAAAATAACCAACAGGAAAAAAATCTTTAGAAAATTAGCAAGTTTGTAGTATCTCAAAAGGAGTATCCGTACATAGGCACAGCACCTGCTACGAGCTGATGAGGTTTGTAACAAGCTGCAGTATGTTGTCCACACTGGATTAGGAACCAAAGAATCTGTCATGATTCAGTCTACATTTGCACACTTTTTTTTTTTTTTTAATCCTGAACCTGCACTGTATGAAACACTGCTGCTCTGGGCATGTACCACATGTCAGGTTACGTGACAGAGGGAGGGATGGGGTGGAATGCACAAAATGGTTTAAGTACAATCTTCTCATCAACCCCGCTAACTTTTGTTGGAAGGTTCTGTTAGATAAATCCTAATTCTCTTCATTTGCAACTCAATATGTGAAAGATCATAGAACAGTATGGGTTGAAAGGGACCTTAAAGATCATCTAGTTCCACCCCCCCGCCA